ACAGTTGTGCCCGTGTTCCAGTGTTTACCCACAGGATTGCGCACGCTCCGTTCAAACTGCACGTGATTACCATATGGATGGGGCACCTCAGAAACCTGCAGAGGAGATGGAACAATGAGTTATAAGGTATATATATAGGAGCATTTCTATTTTATAGTCAGAGTCACTCTGGCTACAAAGAAAGAAATACTGATCTCGCTATACCACATAACCTATTAATACGAACAAAGACAAGCCAACTGATTCTCATATTATCGCGAGCATGCAATCATGCTTTCCCGTTTTCTATGAACGGGAAACCTGCGGGGATATCAGAACAAACTTCTGGCAGCTGTTACGCAAACAGAATGTACTGGCGGGCGGTGTAGATTATCTTTGATGCACGCGACCGCGTAAACCCCTGTAGTGGAAACTTGTCTCAACGTCCATGCTCATGACAACACCCTTAAAAAGATGGCCTGCGTAGCAAGCGTTTCCCTCGGGTTTCGGTGCAAAGAACGAGGAACAAGAGTCAGAAACCGCGTGAAAAATGGCGCGAGTAAAAGAGCGGGGAGGGGTGGGGAAGAAAGGTAAGGAAGGTTTCCTTCCTTCCCCTCCCCCTCCCCCCTCTTCCATTTTTTGGCCCTCGTTCCATTTCTCGGGCAGCCCAAACCGAAAATCCCGTTCTTCAGTCTTTCTAGATCTTTGCTCAGAAACCAAACGGGAACTCTTGCTACGCAGGCTATTAAAAAGAAAACTATAAAGCCTTTGAGTAAGACAGAACGCCCCTCTTTTAACTGAGCTTCCTAACATCTACGAAGCAATTCGACCGTTCCAAATAAAAAGGTAACGTGACTGCTGTGCAATCACGCACGTTTGACTGATGAAGGCTGCACGATTCAGCAGCCAACATCTTCCAGAACAAATTTATTTCTTTAAACTTGACTTACTCGACGAACGGGAAATGAACTTTTTCTCTTCTATCTCAGGGACCGCGCAGCAAGTTTTCGAGTGGGGGGGCTAAAGAAGAGCTAAAGAAGAATGCGTGAAGGAAATTTTTTTTTTTCCACATCTTCAGTGTTGTTGCTATCGGGTCTGAAAATTCACCATCACTAAATTGAAATATCATAGATTGTTATGTTATACTACTGATATCAACCTTTAATTACTATAAATGAGCCCGAAATCCAACGATTTTGCTTGAGCTGCCTTGAACTCAAGGCTGTATAATTACTTAGCAATTATTGCACGAGGCTGAGTATGATATGAAGAGTTATGCACATCGAGGGGGGTTATCCGCCAAAGCCGAAGGCTTGAGCCCGGTGGATAACACCCTCCGAGATCTGTATATCTTCATATCATACGAAAGCCGAGTTCAATAATTGTTTAATTATTCATTCAAAATATTTACACGGCAAAACAAAACGGTAACTGAAAATAATTTAGTGAAAGAAAATTCAATTATAGAACAGATTCAGAAAAAAAGTAGCAAAAATTATGCAGAGTTTACTCACCAGATAAAGAAGGTTTTCCATTTTGTTTGGAAAAGTAATCAGAAATTTTAAGAGATCTCTTCTTTGCATTACTAGTGGTATGTGAAGTCTTGTCTTTGCCAGTAACTCTGGTCACTTTCAAATTAACGATTTTTTGCTATTTTTCACTCCGCTACTTTTGCTAAGTTATTTTTTGTTTAATTTATTTTTATTCTTGCAAAACAGTGCGGGGGCTAAAGCCCCCCCAGCCCCTCCCTCTGCGCGGTCCCTGTTATCTTCGGAAACCGGTCGTTTCGATACAAAGAGGTTTCGATACAAGTCGTTTCCATCCGAATTCAAGCAGCATGAAACTGCACAAACATTTTGATTATTTCACGTATAGTTTGCGCGTAAACAAGAAAAACATTTTGGGAGAATATTCTTCGTTCTTTAAGGTGGGTAAGTGGAACTATTTACAACTCCATTGAATAAACTTGTATCGAAACGACTTTGTATCAGTGTATCAGAACGCCTTTGTATCGAAACGAAAGCAAACCCTATCTTCATACCTGATTCTTGGCGAACAACTTGCTTTTCTCCTCATTAATAATCACATGTGATAACTCCTTGTCCTTCCGGGGAGGACCACGTTTCGCTTTCTTGGTAAACTGTTTCTTCTTTTTCTCCGAAGGCTTTATACCCGCTCCGGCCCAGGTCCCCCAGCCAGGGAGACTCAAGTCGATATCCTTTGGCTTGGATGCTTCCTCAATCTCACTCTTTTCCTGTAAAAACTCCTCGACCACATCATCATTAGCAAATGCCTGTTGAATGTCAATTCGCTTCTGATGAAGAGGATCACTTTCATCATCTTCGGCGCCAGCTTCATGCTCTTCGATTCTAAATATTTTCTTCGGATCTACGCGTATGTCCTTTGGTTTGGCAACTTCTGTTTCAAAACCATTGCTCTTTACAGCAGGGTTTGTCGATGCAGTGTCTTCTGTTTCAGTTACAGTCTTGCTTTCTGTTAAACTAACACTGTCCATCTCTTCAAAATTTGAATTGGCCGTGGGTTTATCAGTTAGCTTTTTCTTATCTTTTATGCCCTTTTTCTTCTTCAAAGAATTAATTTCCTGTCCTTTTGTGGAGTCGCCAGTGACACCATGTTCAGGAGCAGAATTTGCAGATTTTTTACCACCACTTTTCTCTGATTTCTTGCTCTTTTTCGCTGCCACTTCGCTTTCTGCGAGGGTTATCTCCGACCTCCTCTTTTTCTTCTTCTTTTTGCCACCTTCAGTGGTCTCCTTTTTCTTTGACTTCTTCTTTCCTGTGTCCAAGGACTGACCGGTTTTAACTCAAACTCTTCTTCACTGTTACCTTCATCCTCACCAGGTTCAGAGTCGTCATTTTTCTCATCTGCATCCTCTGTTCTGATCGGCTGCAACCGGTGCAGCTTTATGGAGGAATCTGTAAGATTTAAAAGCACTGTTATATTAAGTTAAACTGCACTCGGTCAAAAGAAAAAATACCATAAAAACCGCGAATAAGAACCTGCATTTTCCCAATTTAGCCGAATACAGGTTCTTACGTAGCCTGCGAACAACAGACGTATTCCCGGTCGTCGCTTCTCTCCCTCCCAAAAATAAGAGGTAGGGAAGCGACGACCGGAAATACGTCTGCTCTTCGCAGGCTAGTTCTTACATGAATGACAACTAGCATAAATTCTGGCTATTTAGCTTCTTAAATAGGTTCTTATTTTCTGAAGGAAAAAAGTTCATTGTAGCTAGTAAAAGTATCAAGTGGTATTCAGCTTATTCCTTATATAAAATCTACATATCAGTACATTGCACTTGGGGTAATAAGACACCTTTATCTCCATAGAGAATCCTGAATGTCGCCTTTTTTGCCCAAGTGTACGTACAGAATTTCTAAAAGATTTTGGAAAATAAGAACCTGTTTCAAATTTTAACCCAAACAGGTTATTGCTATGGAGGGGGCCTAACTGGCACATTTTAGCCTAACAGGTTCTTTAAAAAAGCTTCTTACTCGCGAGTTTTTCACTGTATATGAAGGATATGTCAGTATACTGATAAAATAGCCTAAAATTCATTCGATTGCTTCAAAAACGTTTAAGGAGCGTCAATGTACATGAAATCTGTTCTGAAGAAAGCTCCAAAATAAAGTCATTCCAACAGATTCAAACACATAAAAAAACAATCCCCTCTACACTCCTCAATAAAGATTCCAGGAAGCACTTAAGCCCAAATTTGATAGATCGCTCTTAAGACGCATATGTGTTGCTGTTCAGAAGAGCCTATGATGTGCGGTTCAAGGTGACACACATTCTAAGAACCTAAAAAAAAATCTGGCCAGTTTGCCCCAAGACAGTAGTAATAGTTATCAGACCGGCCAAAACTATAACTGCCCGCTTATTTTGATCTGCTATTACCATTGTCTAAGCTTGAAGTCATCTCCGCTAGATGTGGTGCGCCTGTTGTATCGAGTTTCCAAGGATTGTCTTCAGAGGTTACCAGATTCCCATAGCCATCACCATCAACATCAGCTTCTGCTTCTGGTACTGGCATCTCCATGTCATCTTCACTCTCTGATTCCGCCGCAGTTTTCTCTGTAAGGTTTCGGCTTATCCGAAGCTGTTCCTGAAGTAATTTCTTGGCCTAGACAGAGGAAGATAGGTAGGTTACATCGCTATTTCCTGACTGGGCCAAATGATCTCTTAAGACCTCGCCCCATGTAAGACAATCCAAGATAGTCTTGGATTCTTGATTCTGGATTCAGGCCAGGTACCGGATTCCAAAGTCCACGATTCCGGATTCCATAAGTAAAAATATCCCGGAATCCGGAATTGGGGTTCCATTACATAGGACGAAAGACCGATTTACATGGCTCAACTTTGTCGCATGCGATGTGCTTACGATAATGCTACCACCGCCTCGCACGAACTGTATCGCGTACATCTCACTTACAACTGACTTACGGCTATCGTAGGTTTGATTTACAAGGTACAATTTGGGTTGTAATCATATCGTAAGCACATCGCAGGAGACAATGTTGTACCGTCTATATTAGGCTTTAGAAATATCTTAAGCCATAAGATGTACAGCGAGACTACAATTTCCACTTGTGCGGACTCTTGTTTAGTACTCTACGTTGGCCTCACGTTTTCTTTGAGTTTGAAGTAGCCTCTGCGTATTTTTTTCTTCTTCGTTTACACTTATTGAAACGGTTTAACCCGTCAAACCCTAAGATCAAAATTTGAATTCTCATTTGTTGCCCCTATTTATTTTCTACAGAAGTAGTTGGGAGAAGTTGATAAAATATCAAGCAAATTCATCTTGTGTGATCATGTCCATAATTCTCATGACCACTCTGTTTTACAAAGCATTGATATTACAAGGAGAAATTTGATGCTGATCACTCTTAGGGCTTGAAGGGTTAAACTTCAAGTTAAGCATTTCTGATTTCTTTCAACAATCCACATGCAATCCATTGGCAAATAAAAACCAACAGAACAGTTTATAAGAAAAATCATCTCCCCATCAAGGAAGCTACAAAAAGCTTCATCACATGATCTTCATACATAAGACGGAGGAACGAAAGGGGGTGCTGAAAACTATAAAATTATGAAATTTTCATCTCACTTCTGCATTTTTGCTTCCCTTTGCCATCAAGTGTTTTGCCCATTTAGATGTATTCCGATGCTTGAGTGAAACACGTTCCTGAAACAAAAACAGGCACCTTTTATTGCTTTATGTAATTTATTTCTATTTAATGCTGATGTCAACTGGCTGCCTTCTCCCCTATGGTTATTCCAGGCAACCAGTACTAATTTTACTTTCAATATTTTCGTTGTTGTAATTTGTTTTTAAGACAAGAGAGAGTACAAATAAAGATTGTTGTTGTCGTTGTTTCACATCCAAGAGTAGTCAAAAACAGAGTCAGCAACTATGAAAGCACTTAAGGCATTCATTTGTAATAATTATTTGTATGTCTATCTATTAGAACTATATAATTATACTGGAAAAAACTGTTTAACATTTTTGTAATATTTTTGTACATTTTTGTAAATTTTGTTATTATATTGTTACTTTCCTTGTGATGAATAATTGTATCCGTCATCATAATTTTTATGTCATCTATGAAAAATTAAAATTGAGGAAGCCTAATTAAGGCCTCCTTGCCATTACTTTCTCCACTTTTGTATCTTTTTTGTTCTTGTAATTTGTTGGTGAGGTAAATAAATAAAATGCACTCACAAAATACAAATGAAAGGGAGCACAATCTTTTCAGTAAAATGAACAACCTATTAAACTGATTGAGTTAACCATTGTGCATTAAGAGAGCTTAAAATATTTCTGTTGCTATTAAATTCTCACCATTGCTCTCAGCCTGTCAGCCTTTTCTAAAGTCTCAGTATCATCTTCATTCTGGGGATCTCCTTCTGCAGCTATCTTTGCAGCTGCTCGCATCTCAGCTTTTCTTTTCACACGGTGATATCTGAAGTATGAACCAGACAGAGTTTAACCACACGCTGTCAAAATCTGTTTAACACAGATGGCAAGCATTTATGCAAATTTATTGGAATATAAGAAAAGAGTTCAAATCCAACAGGAATAGCCACAGGATGCAGAGGAGTTATTTCTGACCTTGATTGTGGTTAAATTTTACAGATGACAGCATGAATAGCCTTCATTTACTGTTTATTGTAGAGTTGAATATGAAATTGACTGATCAAACTGTCAAGCGATCGTGTTACACACCATGTAAAATATTATGGTAGTAGTAGTGATACCTCACTACTATGTACACCTCGCTAATATGGACACCTTGTTATAATTATTATTACAGACGGCCCTGCCTTTACGTCAGACACCTTACTATTACAGACTTCTCACAAGTCTCAACAACTCACTACTATGGGTGCCTCACTCATACAGACACCTTGCTCAAGGGCCACCTCTTCATTTCAAACACCTTGCCACAGTCAACTACCATGAGTGAGTGTCCATAAAAAAAATTTAAAAGAGGTGCCTAGAATGGGCAGCATATGGTCCGTAAAAAAAATTTAAAAGAGGTGCCTAGAATGGGCAGCATATGGTCCGTAATGGTGAGAGTCTGTGCTAACAGGAGTTTCTCTCAGTCACAAGTCACAAATGTCATCTGTTTTTGCTAGGGATTTAGCTGCTGTCCATATTACAAGAGCGACAGTAATAGCAAGGGGTTTCTACCTCTCCCAATTTCGATCGCCATTTTCACCCTAGCTCCAGACCTTTCATTTGCCAGCTTGGGTGTTCTTGGTCTAGGCAAAAACATGGGGTAATTTGCAATCTTGACAGCTCCCTGTTATGGAAACAACTGCACCAATGCACACAGCAGATGAATGCTCAATGTTGATGTGCCACATGTGTGCCAAAAATGATTTCGCTTAAAGAGAATTTTGTAGATAAATTCAAAGATTCATGGTAATTTTTAACGGTGAACACACAGCCAGAAGTTGACTTACTTTTTGCTCTTGATTTTCTTCATTCTGCGACACTTGGCTTCATAGTAAGACTGCAATGCTCTCAGCTTTTGAAGTTCATGCCTTCTTTCCTTTGCCTGCAGGGTTCAATGAGTGCAAATGTTGCTACATTGTAAGATTTAAAAAATAATAATTTTCTACGTGAAAAAAGTTGTTATATTGCTTACATGTAAATATATCATTCCCTTAATGTAAGCTTGAAAGAGTATACAGTATACCTAACAAAGAGCGGCCTCTTTGGTGACGTGCCTCCAAATTCGACAAGGCTCCAGATATGCCAGCTGCAGTTTATATTAGTGGCCAATGTTGGAGAAACAAGAATGAGATTGTTTCCCAACTACTTCTTTAGGAACCAAAACACTGCAGATACTCAAGGGGGTGCCCAGCAACAACATTCAATGACCACCTAGAGAATGACACTAGTCTTATGAGACAGGATCTTGCATCAGTCATGGCCAACTGATGGGAATAGGACAGAGTTATCAAATCAGTGCGGCTGTGCCCGAAATAGATAGATATGATGTCTTCAGGATTTCAATTAAGTCTAAATTCAGACTATCAGTCTCATGCTCTCCCATAGCATCCCATGCAGTCATTGTTAGGGTTTCAACACATGTTCCTGCCCCACTAACATCTGCTAAATTGAGCGGTAAAGAGCATAGACCAATCACAGCACACTTCCAGACCTGGGAAGTGCACTTTGGACCTTGAGAAATTTTGCTCATGCTAGACTCAGCTCCAGAAAAGATCAGAAAGGTCTTGAAAGGTGAAGACCTTACACTTTTAGAACAAACTACTCAGTTAACTCACATGCCTTCGTACTGGAGACTGCCCTCATGATCTCATTGAAAAAATTACCTGAGAGGTTTAATTTGCTGAACAGAAGTTGGCTTTACCACAAAACAATAAAGTGCCAAAAAAATTCTGCCTTTGTTCAGTTACAATGTACAACCCCGCCGTTGCCTCACCCACAGAACAACTTTATGAGGAAATGACATCTAATCCAGCCTTTACAAAGAGAAATATACAAAACACCAACACTTATCACCTAAATATTCTTGTCTGAAGCTAAACTCTTTGGTCATGTATCACACTCTACCCAGCTTGACATGTATGTGTTTGGTTTGTCAACACTTTGACTTCAACAACGCCAATTGGTTCTCCGATAATCTCCATGTACCCTCCAGCTGATATTTGTGAACAATGGGAAAGAAATTTAACCTCTCAATTCAGCAGACATTTGTGGGGCAGGAACACGTGACGAACCCCTGAGAACATCTGTGTGGGAGGATAGCTAGCTATCCCACAATCTTGATTGATTTAAGTTACGCCTGGGTAAACAATCTACTGTTAAGTAGAATAAACTGAGCAAAGAGTGCCCCATAAGCATAAAATATAACAACAAACATAAGACCCCATTAGTTAAAATACATGTACAGTTATCCGGCACAAGGCAGGCATACATTGCATGGTTCATTCTAACTGACCCAGAAAAATTTATCCTGGCCTGTTTTTGTAGCTGTTGATGCTTTGTGGGGGATTTTTATTATACAGAATGCAACATTCTTATTCACTTACTTCCTCAAGGTCCATAGCCAGTAAAGCTTTCTCTTCCTCCTCAGTCAGCTCTTTGTTGCTTCGCTCCAGCACATGAGAGCTACCTCTTAGGACAGCTGCAACTTCTTCTTCTAATGGAGTGCGGGGCTACATAGGAAAAAGCAAGAAGCAATAAATAATGCAGAAAGGAATTCCCAGTTGCCATGCATTAAATTGTTTAACTGAATAATGATCAAATAAACACAAGTCAATGTATTTTCAAACACTACTTTCCTTCAACAATAACACAATACATTATTTTAACAATGAACATTGGCTTTGGCACTAGTAACAAACACCAAAATGCAACATTGTTGGGAGTTGTTGCATTCCTTTGCACACCACTGCCAATGTGGATGCAACAATGTTGGCCCAACAATGTTGATAGTTGTTGTGTCCATTTGGACATAGCTTAACCAAGAAGAAATACAAGATATACAAAATTTGGGAGAGAAAGGAAACATTACCTTAAAATTCACAGCTAATCCTCTGAGGGATGGTCTGGGTGGTTCAAATGGTTTTAGTGGAAATGACAGATGTTCAGCCTAAAAAATAAAAATCACTCAAAATGTTACACTATCCATTAAAAAGCCACTTGAACTTGAAAAACATCTCTGTGTTAATGAAATCACTGGCAGAAAAGATTGTTCCTAAAAACAATAAATCAAGGCTTGGGGTGGTACAAAAAAGTTGGAATGAAATTGTCCAGTCAAGCCATAAAGTCATTTCATTGTGTGTGTTCCCTAGGATGGCTTGTGTAAGAGGTAAAATTGAAGTCCTCGGAACATTATAAAGGACCCATGTCAATAATTACGGGACCACCTTTCATTTAGCTCAAATTTTGCCAGAGTTTTCAAGAGACCTTTGATTAATTAACTGTTTTTATATATCTATATTTTTCATTACAACAGACTACCCCAAGTGAGCTGTGTACATGTCTGTTGTTCGTAGTTTACACTTGATGGATAGTTCAATGTTAGAGTATTCCAGCCAGTCATCACAATGATTGCAGGTTCAGTTTCCAATTGAGACTTTATTTCAACACCCAAAATAACCTCCACAAAATTGTTTGGTGGAATAATAAGTACATAACTTTACCTCTCGGTTTTTCTTGACTGTAAGTGCCCACTTTTCAATATCTCGTTTGGTTTCTCCGTATGCAATAGTACGTTGAATCTGACAACAGAAGATGACATGTCATTAGTACAATTTTTTTTCTGGTGAAAATCACCTCTGTCAGATTATTTTCCTCACCTTTTCTGCTTCAGGTTTTGTTAAAGGAACATCAAGGGTGCCTGAATTTCTTTGCATACTATCCTGAAATTAGATTAGAAGGTTTCAAACGTCACTCTGACACATTCCAGCATCCCAAAACAGATCACATTCTTGCAAGTAATTTTTCTACACATTAACAAAACTGAAAAGGTCCTAGAGCTATTTTATGCAATGAAATCATTCGGCAGTTTTATTAGAACATGGTGTGCCATACTGGATTATTCAATGAACATTGTGCTGAGGGGACAAACCACAAGGTGTATACCCTACTAAGGGTTTGCCACATAATCTAGCATGGCAGCTCCACAATAATTTATATTGAAAATGACAGCCAAATGATTTTCCACACAAAAGCAGGACAACTGTTCCCTGGCTGCATCTCTGATTTTAGTTTTTCTGCTGATTTTTTAGTTACTGATAAGTAATTTGCACTTTTTAACCCTTTAGGCCCTAAGAGTGATCAGCATCAAATTTCTCCTTGTATTATCACTGCTTTATAAAAAACAGTGGTCATGAGAATTAAGGATATGATCACACAAGATGAATCTAATTGATACTTCATCAAATTCTCCCCACTACTTCTATTGAAAACGTATAGGGACAACAAATGAGAATTTGAATTTTAATGTTAGGGTTTAAAGGGTTAAACATACTGTTAATGAACAGAAAAAGTCCAAGATTAACAGTATTGTTTTAAATTTACAGGGAATGTAACATCATTCAAATTAATAATAAACCATGTCACTAATACTCCAAGAATTGGTGTTAAAAATAACAAGATTTGTCATCACTCTAACCTTTAAATCTGTGGGCAAAATCTATTCTACAAAAACCTCTTTCATAGAACATTTTCAGAGTACTATAATCTTACGAAAAAGAAATTTGAATTTTTTCGTGAATACTTACCAACTTCTTCTTAAGATTGCCATGTTCATTGGTTTTGTTGAGTGATCCTATAAGATCACTCAACTCAACTTGTTGACTACTATCTGTCATGATTAAAACCAAAGGAAGTTAATTTTCCTCTAATAATGTAACCTTTGACTTATAGATTGTTATGCTTTCATATTGCTGCATAACTCTTCAACTGAAACCTTCTCATAATAAATGCCTTATTAATGCCTTATTAATGCCTTTCTAAAATGCTCTTTAACTGTATATGTTATGGCCAACCAAATTATAGCACTTCAAAACAATTCTTAGTTGTCCACAAGGCACAGTGACTACATGATTGTATCCCTTAACCCCCAATATCCACAAAAAAATTTAATTGAGAGAATTTGATAAAAGATCAAAGCATTCTCTTTGTTGATCATTTTGTGAATTCTCAAAACTTTTCCCTCATGTTGTATTGACTTTGTTAGGAGAAAGTTGATGAGAGAATCACTCTTGAGTCTGAGTAGACCAGTACTTTCTAAAGTGTTGTAAGAAGGTTCAATCTATAAGGTGTTAAAGTGAACTGTTAAAAAACACTTCATTCCCCAAACAATACCTTTAACAGCACTTAAGTGAAATTCTGAGACTGTCTTGTTTGGCTCTGATCGCTGCGGCAATGTTTTCTGTCTGTAAAAAGGATGTTGACCAAAATTAATTTCAAGCATTTATAGAAAGAAGGTGGCTGAACAAAGAAGGCCGACAGTGGTTCATTGTCAGCAAACCTTTCGTCTAACTGATTCTAAGATTGTTTTATTATTAGAAAATCCCACCCAAAAATGTTTTGCACTTATACTGGTACAAATTAAAGAGACAGGCATCTGAGGAGAGTGACAGCATTATAACTGTTTTCTCTAAATTCGCTAGAAATATTGTAATTTGATTTCAGTACACTGACTACAATGTATTAAGGAGATAATTCTTTACTATTGATAATGTTCTACAGATTAAATGTGATAGTCTGGTTTCATAAGGGTTGTGACATCTTTTAATATAAGAGTCTTAATTTACGTAGTTATATAATTCTTACTTTTTATCCATCGACATTGTACATAGTTCTTACACTTTTCTGATACTTGATCTGTTATAGTTATTTTTTCCTTTAATTGTTCATGTTTTATTTGTCCAGGGCACCCATCTATAACAGCTTAAGCTGACGGGTTTACCCTGGTTAAATATGTTATTGTTAGTAGTAGTAGTAGGGACTCCTTGTTTTTTGAACTGGGACGCGTTGATCCTGGACTGGGACACGTTGATCCTGGACTGGGACGCGTTGGTCCTGGACTGGGACGTGTTGATTCTGGACTGGGACGCATTGATTTTGGACTGGGACTCACAATTTTTCATAAGATGAATCCCAGGACTCACTATTAGCAAATTGTAACAAAATCACTGTACTTAGCACTCTCTGATGTTAATTATACTTCAACTTGGACTAACCTTCTCTTGCTGCTTGAGGACAATGAAGTGATTTCCTTGAGGAGTTTTTCATGCTTCTCTTCATTTTCACTCTCTTGCTGTAGGAAAAGACAAGCGACTCATGAAAATAATATACTACTTCCTTTTACATCCTACAAAATGGAAGGAGACAAATAACAACTGCACAAGCAGGGTTTTGGCCTGAAGCCAAACACTGAATTTATCACATATTTGTATTCATATATGTTGTAGTTAATTTTTTATTTGTATTTTGCCTTTGGGTATGGTAATATAAGGTAATGAAGTTGAAACAAAGGAAAAATAAAAATTACCTGACATAAAAAATTAACTACAACATATGCCCTACTTTGCTTGTGTGTTTGCCAAATTCCTCAAACAAAAGGGAACAGATCGTTCATTGGTCTGTGAATTGGCTAGTTTGGTACGAGCGACAAGAGACAGAAAGATGATCGAACGTGTTACAGCCACAAGGAGTGCAAGGGTGAAAAATCTGATAGAGACATGGCTTCATCTATCCTCAATAGGTGAAAATCGGGGCTAAGAACAAACGTTCCTTCTGCCCCCATTCCCCCCCCCCTTACCTTTCCTCTTCTAAGGCTAAAGGTCAACGGGTAAATCCCATAATATTATGTTCACAGGGGTGCTATGCCGGCTGGCTGGGTTTATGTGAAACTGTTTGGGCTAAATGCCTTCAAACCGAAACTTTTCACGAATAAGCCCACTGCTTAGATCCTCGATCCATAAGCTGGGTGCACGTGATGTATTTACATCAGTTTACACAGACCATTGTCAGTCAAACGGAAATATAGCATACCACAACCACAACCAATAAAACGATCTACAACATGGAGACGACGACGCTAACTTTAACTATTGCATTACAGGAGAGACTGGCACATTTTCCAATTTCGGACAAGTTTATACCTCATCCTCGCTGCCACTCGTGTGGTCATGAAGCAGATCACTTGCTTGACCATCCACCGCGGGAGCAATCCTATATGAAGGCAGAAAAGGAAAGTCAAAAATGTAAGAAGTGTTTTCCAGCTGCTTTAGAAAAAAACCCTCTACAATAGTGCAAAAAAACACCATAATTATCGCTTATATCACATCTTACTTCAAGGCAATCTCCGTCGCCATGTTTCCTACCTGCGGGTCATCGCAAAGGCTATTGGGATGTTATAGCACCACGTGGCTTGTAGCCAGACGGACGCCATCTTTACCAAAGACCGGTGGGAAAGTCTCTTCCTTCTTTCGCGTTTTCTTCAATCATGCCGGCGACCCGTTCTCGTTCACGGTCCCCAAGACGATCTTCTACTTCCTCTTATTCAAAAGATAAGGCTGGGAAACCAAACTCTCGTGAGCTAATCACTATAAAAACAGAATCTACCCCAGACAACAAAGTGAAAGCCGACCATAGTGGCAAAGACAAAACTGCTTCGAGCTACAAGTCGGACTCGGCTAAACCAAAAACAGACAGCGCAAATGACAGTAAACAAACAGAAAGGAATTTCCGAAAACCGTCCGAATCACCGGTTTCGAAAAGTGGTAACTCGGCGAATAGGAACATGAACTTCAGAAGCAAGGAAAGAAAGTTTTCTGGTCGATGTAGGCTCTTTGTTGGAAACTTGACCAACTGCGAAGACACTGAACTCAAACAGATGTTTGAAAAATATGGAGAGGTCGCTGAGGTGTTTATTAACAAGGAGAAGGGTTTTGGCTTCGTCCGAGTGGTCAGTATACAGTAGTGAAACAAAATGAGCTGAACGAATTAGGCGCAACTGCATTCATGGATGTGGTTTAATAAAAGTAGACGGTATTCAATCGATAGAAGTCGGTCATTGGAAGCCTAATCGATGGTACTCCATAGTAATCGATTTTTGTCGATCATTCAATTTTCAGTGGAACCTCGTTTTAATGTAGTCCCAAGGGACTGGGGAAATTTGTTCGTTATATTATTGAGGGTTTGTTATATCAAACACGTCGATTTAACAAATTGTAGGAAAAAAACCAACCAAAATGTCCATTATATTGAGGTATACACCTATTTGCAATAAGGTTGTCATAGAAAAAAGCAAAAAGCAAAAAGCAAAAGGCAAAAAGCCAAATAGGAATTAATTAGCATTTAATTATCAGTGCTTGCAACATTCCCAACACACACGCTTATAGCTGAATATTAATCACGTAATATGAGAGAAATCATCTGCACCAGTTTCTTGGTGTCATTCTAATGCAATTCGAGGCTGATTCATCTAGCGGATTTCAAACGTGCTCTAATTACAAACGTACATCGGATAACTACTAAAGAAAAAATGGCTCCATTTTTTTTTCAATAAATATAGCCTAGGGTAAATTCCAGGAACGCGACGCGTCTTTTCGTTTAATGCTAAATAGAAAAGCCAGTCTGCATATGGTTTGTAGTGCACAACACCATCAGATCACAATTTTCAAGCAACAAATCAGGGGCGTAGGCAGGACTTTTCATCACGGAGAGGGTGAGCCGTTCCTCCGCCAGTTCCTCTCCCGCGCCACAAACCAAGCTTCGTTTGTCAGGACCCTTTTGTTACACACATCAGTGTTTCATGTGCGGAATCTTACAGCGCGGAATTACAGAATTATTTCTTGTTATTGTGAAAGACTTCTTAAATAATTGTTATATTATTAAAATACGCAAATGTAAATCACATGGCTAATTAATTCCTATTTGGCTTTTTGCTTTTTTCTATGACAACGTTATTGAAATTAGGTGTAAATTAGTAATTCATTTAAAAAACCCAGCATTTCTGGATCTGAACAATTACTGTAATAACATTCGTAAGGCTGGGTAACATCTGCAAAGCAGCACCCATATTCTTGTTCTGGGTCCCCAATTACCACAAAATGGTTTTCAAAATTTCCCTTTAGCCTTATTACCAAGTTGACAACGGCTTTTTTAACAGGCCAATCATGGCACATACTCAAATCCTGGTAGACAGGTAGGGATCCAGAACAAGGCTTTCAGCACTGTTTCATAGAAGGAGATAACCAGAAATTAAGGTCTGTCTATTCCTGAGAGGAATGTCAAAAATGCTTATCTTCGAATTGGCTGAAGATTATGTCTCTAGGATCCCTCACAGGGAATATTCCAGCCCAGCAGCTGTGTGGCGCTGTTCCCTGTGCCATACCTACGGCAATTGAATATCACCAACTAATGTACAAAGTTAATGAGAATCCTATGTGCAGTTGTATTCGCAAATCTTAGCAATAATATCCAGAGTCACTGCCTAAATTAAAAGAGATACACAAGGCTGTAGAGACTTTCAAATTTTGTTGGTTCTCAAAGAATGTGGAGCACTTGTAAGGGGGTATGCATGACGTTCACAAAGTGCTTAATCAGAAGAAGGCAAGCAATCAATCTCTGTAGATTTTTGATGTTAATCAGTTGATTCAGTTTTATTGATGATGAAAAAGTTTGATTATATACTCCCTGTTGAAAGGGTGGGACTCGTAATCACCTTTTGCCAGGTGATTTTGGGGGGATGCAACATAGCCCTGGAATAATGAGCACACTAAGTTCTCTATATTCACCTGAGTAGTCCTGTATAGTCCAGAAAGGTTATCACAAAAAAATTACGCCTTATCAAAAGGCCTAATTGCTAAGAAGTGACAAGGGTTTTGATCAAAGTCATTGTTTTTTTAGGACACTCGTTTAAATGCGGAAGCTGCCAAACAAGGTGTTGATGGAACTTATCGAAATGGAAGGGTATTGCGGGTTCGTTTTGCTACACATGCAGCCGCTCTCAAAGTCATGAACCTTGGTCCTCTGGTTACAAATGAGCTGTTACATTCAGCTTTTTCCCAGTTTGGTGATGTGGAGCGAGCAGTTGTTGTCTGTGATGATAGGGGAAGATCAAAGGGCTATGGTATTGTTGAATTCTCCAGAAGAAACTCTGCTCAAACAGCATTGCAGCAAGTTAATGATGGATTATTCCTTCTCGGAAGGTATAGTAGAATAATTTACATTTCAGTATGTTTGTATTTCGGTACCTTCAGAGTTGAGAGGACATATTATCCTTTTTAAGAAAACTGTCAGCAAATGGTGGCAATATGAAACCTCACAGACGTAACTGAAATAATGCACTAGTAGCATTTTGGCTTTTGTAAGTCTGTGCTAAGAGAGCAACTTACAATGGAAGCCCGATGTTTTGAATGACCCTGGGAAAAGCAAATTGGTTGCAGTTATCATGAGGTTTAAAAAATTGGATGTAAAATTAGCTAGTGAAGGAAAGATAGAACTGGAATTTTGAAAAGCCATAGCTGCAAAAGCAGCCATCGCTCCTTGCTGCTAGGGAAGTTTCACTAGGAGAGATGTTTGCACCTCAGATACAGAAATTCCATACTGATGATGTAAATCAATGTTTACATAATAAATCCGATAGTCACGGGGTTCCGAAATAATGTAAATTTGTTTGATTTTGTTTCTCTAAAGTGTTGGGTTCTTCTGCGAATGAGCTCCAGCAAAACTCAAATGCACCACGAATATTGACTGTTCTGTAGTAGATTCACCATGTTACAGTTTAACTTTGTGACCATTTGTCTTTCAATACATCTAGCTAAATCAGTATAATACTATGTCAACCAATCATAGCTCCAGACCAGATTTTGGACAGATTTTATGTCAACAGTATGGAATTTCTGCCTTCTGGTGAAACATCCCTATCAGTGAGGAGTAAAGAGATACTGCTGTTTTTGCAGGCTACAAAAATAAAGGGTTAAGAAATCAGCATTGTTCTTAACATGATTGCAGTAATTTTTTATACGTGCAGTACCTGACCTCAACTCTGTGATGAAAAGCTTTATTGGAATTACCGTATGAGGTTTTAAAAACTCATGAGTAGATTTTGGCTCCTGAGAGTTGAGGCACTTATTTGGTACATGTAGATTTTGATCTAAGCGAACTGCTGGCATTGTTTGAAACCCCTGTTTTTAATTGTCAGAACTCCTCGCCCTATATCAGTTAAACAGTTGGAACATGAAGAAGATGAAGATGGTGTGGTAGATGAAAATGTTAAGAGGCATGCTGATTTTGAAAAGTAAGATGATGGTTTGGTCTTTCTGCATGCGTAATAAATTTTGTGTACATCATAAAGTTTACATCAGTTTGATCACTTTGATAAAAAAAAAACCTGCCTAAAAAACTAGCACTGTTTTCAGTCGTAGCAAGGGCTTGAATAAGTGATGATTGGGACAATTACAATAAACCAAATGCAAATACGGTGGACCTGTCAGCCAGCCAGGGTCTAGCTGCGCGAAAGGAAGGTTGGTGGGGCCTCAAGAGTTTTGGTTTGACTGCATGTCTTAGCAAATGAGTCGATCGATATGGTTTGCCTGAAGTTGTTGCGTGCCTGAGCGCCACCAAAAAGGATATTTTTTTCTAGCTGCGCGCAGACGAAATTAAACTCTGGTTAACTCCGTCTGCGAAACAGCGCCGAAATCCTTGTTCTGGACTTCCAGCTGTGTACCCAGATTTGAGTACGCGCCACGATTGGCCAGTTAAAAAAGGTCTTTGTTTTGTTTGTCGTGATCGCCAATCAGGTTGAAGGGAATTCGAAATGCACTTCCGGTAATTCGTTGAGTCCGTTGGGGGTCCAGAACAAGGATCTCTGCGCTGCTTCGCAGACGGTACCAATCATAGTTTAGTTGTCATCTGCACGCAGGCTAGAACAACTTTTACTTTCCCAAGATCTTTTCACAAAGAAAGTTAAGGATTCATGCGATTTGTAGGTAGACTTTCTCCCTGGGAAAGTACATGCATCTTTTCATGCTTACCTGCCAAATGGCCAAATGCCAGTTACTGTAAGTCGTCCTTTAACTAGATCAAAAACTGAGAGGCAGTTATTGACTCAGAACAAGAAAAATGGGAGAACAAGATTGAATAGCAAGTTTTATCCAGCCTTGTTAGACTTTCTATAGCCTGTCTCGTAGATGTAATTTAACCTTGGTGAGTAGCATCTGCAAGGCAGCGTCGATATCCTTGTTCAGGGCCCTCAGCAGACTCAACGAATTTCATTTCATCTTGATTGGCACATTGACACAATGGCTTCTTTAACAGGCCAATCATGGTGTGTACTCAAATCCGGTTACACAGGTGGGGGCACTGAATAAGGATTTCAGCACCATTCCACAGATAAACTCAAGCAGAGTTTAGTTTCGTCTGTGACGCAAGCTAACCTTTCTAGTCGTGGAAAACTCAGTGATGTCATGGTGAGGTAAAGGTAGTTACTGATGATATTTTTTCGCTTTGAAAAGTGATGCATCTCGATGATGAGTCTTTATATTGGAATTACCGTATTAAGTTTCTGTGGGAACTGTTGATTCTAAATGGCACCTGAGAGATGCAAACATAAAATACTTTATGTATGGCACAGAAAGGTGGGGTTCACTGGTTCATTTTATTTACACTGTTTAAGTAAAAGTTCACAGATCTAAGTTGTAAGAATTACAGATTGCCTTGAATAGGTAGTTAAATAAGATAAAACAGAGTTATTGGTACATATGTATATTGAGGAATGTGTGTGGTGGTCAAAGTAGCATTCGCTTTTGAGTTGGCCACCACCTACTTTAGAATCAACAAGAACAAACTGAGTTTACTTCACTTACCACTGTGAATGGTATAGTTCCAATATTTTATAACATGGTATCCGTGGTAAATCTTTCTTGCAAGCCCAGATATACTGGAATTTCACTTTTTTCAACAAGCATGGTAGTATTTTGCTAACAACATTGTTTTAAATGCATGTGGTGTACTGAAATCAAGGAAGCTGTCATTCATATGAGGCAGATAGCCCTCAATGCTATTGTGGACTGGCATCGTATCCCCCTAAATGGAATGTTCCCATCTAAAAAATGTGAACAGATCATTTGATGTTAAGTTTTAAAGAAGGAATAGCAATAAAATTTTCACTAGTAACAAAAAGTATAAATAATTTTTCTTTGGCTGCCCATTTCTACATTCCGTAACACGAGTTTTGTACTTACTGACAGACCAGAGTGAAACTAACCCCATACAATGTCAGTTCAAAGCATGTTCCTAGGTTCAACATAATTAATAGAATGGGTTACTCATACATGCAACATTATCGATTGCACTGTTGAGCTTAATTGCAATGGGCATCAAATATTTCAAGATAGTTGACAAACAAAGGGAGAATTGTTCACCAATATTGTGAAGCAAGTTTTTAACAGCTGAACTGTTTCCTTTAGGGAGAGAGAGGTTGCCCCCCATTTTGTGGCACCGAATACATTTGAGGCAGAGTGGGCTCAAAGATGGCGTGCTCTAGAAGAGATGGAAGTGTCCCAGAAGGAAGCTTTGGATGTTCAGTTTAAGGAAGCTCGTGAGAAATTGGAAGCAGAAATGGATCAGGCAATTCAGGATCATGAGTCTCTGTTAATGAGGCAGGGTATGAACTATTAAAATGTTTTCTTCATTTGAGTGGCCACAATAAAGTTAATAACGTCAAACCTCCCTGTATGGTAATTGATGCAGTGATTTTGTTATAAATAGTTATGGTGAGTCCTGGGACTCATCTTGTGAAAAATCATGAGTCCCAGTTCAAAAAACAATGAGTTCCTGGATCTTTTGTAACCACATAGTTAATCTGAAGACAGACTCCAAAACTCTGTATAACAGTTTCATTACTGAAATAAAAATATACTCCTTCTATTGTAAATCACAACAAAGACTGAGAGAAGTAAGCATTATTTAACAACAGCCACAATAACAGCCGCAGAAATCATTCAAACGGGATATTCTACAAAAACATCTTCAGATCGATCAATTGATTGTGGCGTCCTACAGGACGCATACCACAAATTTTTTGGCATCTTTGGAGATTTTTATACGGCAGTGATGCAGGACACAGATATAGCAAAATCACTGCTGATGGCTTTCTATATCTGTGCTTAAAATTTTAAAATATTTTAAAAACTTGAAGATGCTGCATCTGCATCCTTATGGGTCAATCCTTTTGGTTACAAGTCCCATGATGATTTCTTGTTTAAAACGGACAAATATTTTTGCTGGAACCAAAGGGAACCTCAAGTTAATGTTTGTTGATTTGTCCATAGAAATCCAGCGTCGTCAAGAAGAACTACATCGATTTGAGGAGATGCGTCAAAGAGAGGAGATGATGAGACAAGCAGAGATGAGGTAAAGGAGAACTACAATCTTGGACAGAATAAAAGGGAACAGCAAACCCCCATACCCCCCAAATCAAGGATGAAGCCACAGGAAGGGCGAAACACACCATTTTCCTATCTTTGATTTTGGGGAATGGGAAATCAAATTTCAACTGGTTTCAAGCAAGGTGTTGATGTCAAATAAGTTGTGTTGTCGTCAATGTTAAACATGAGTACAACTACAGTTATTGTGAAAGTGCTGGTTGAAGGCTATCATGAGCACTCTTTCACTGTCAGTTTTTGTGAAAAGTTTGTTGTTAAGAAGAAAAAGAGAGATACAGCTGTGGGGGCCCAGCTCTAAAAGTTACCGACAATGGCCATGAACATGTTGTCTTTCTGCCTGACAAAATCAAAGTAATTGCATTGATTTAGTTTGATCAGTTCGATTAAGTTCGGTATTTAAAAAAATGCACTTTATTTGAGTGTCAATAATTATATTTAGCATGAAAGTACAGATAATGGGGACACTATTTTTAAGTCTCCTATGTGGTCATCCAAGCCATGCCAAGGTCTAGCCATTTGCAGGGTAAAGGCACTATCTTCATTTCTCAGTCATTTTAAGACCCTGAGTGTTGGTCCAGCCCCCGGAGTCGAACCCGCGACCTCCTGCTCTGTAGTCCATTGTTCTAACAACTGAGCTAATCCTGCTGTGGTACTGAAAAGTTCTCACTGAAAAGTTCCAGTTCAACTATGTTTAATTACCGAACCGATCGAACAACAATCAAACAATTGGGTTTGATAGAGTTTAAGTGATTTTTTGTTCGGTTTTGTTTGATTTACTACTCCATTATTAACATTGTTTTTCTGTGTGTGCTTGTGTTCATCACAGGAGACAGGAGGAAATGCGTTTGCAGGAAGAACTGTTTCGAAGGGAAGAGGAACTGCGTCGAAAGGAGGAGCTGTTTAGACAGCAGCAACAGGAGCTCCAGAGGCATAGGGAGGTCAGGCTTCTGATTTAAGAGCTGTTTGATTATTCATGAGCTTGGGAAGTGCTAATGCCTTCCTTGTACCACACTTCCTTGTTACGTTAATTCTTGAAACACTCTAGAGTGGGAAATTGTCTCTTTGTTTGACTGTAAAATGTTTGCCTGTGTATGGAACGCACTCTACATTTTCATTACTTCTTGGAAATATAAAGCTTAACACAATAGAAAGGGAAATAGCCCCCAAAAATCTCTTTCGGTTCTTCCTCTTCTTTACTCTCATTGTTTGCTTATTTGTGCATCTTGTAGGAAGAAACTTATCTGGGAAAGAATAACCACATTTAAATGCCAAATAAGATAATAGCTTTTGATCATACAAGTTTATCTAAGGAAAATATTGCATTTGGGTAATGAATCTAAGTTATTGGAATTACTGTATGAATTAATGAATAGGCTAACAAACTTTATTCATTTACTTTGGCTATTATTATTATTGCTGAGGTGGTCTTTTATTCAAAACTCATAAAAATGTGCTTTAATACTCAGGAATCCATGAGACGAATTGATTCAAGCTATTCAGGAGGATTTCCTCCTAAGGTAGGACTCTTGTCTTTATAAGTCACTTATAGCTGAGAGCAAAGCAAAAATAAGCTATTATTTTGTTAATCCGTCTAGCAAACTTAAAGACAAGTTCACATTCACCACTTTAAAAACAAAAAGGAAACTGACCCAAGCTTACTTTTGCAAAGAGTTCTAATCCTGTTACTGAGGACAGGGCAAACAAATTGCATGTTTCGTACAATCTTGAAAAGATCTTGAAAGTTAGTAGTCGTCTTGACACCTGTATAAAGTTTTCATTCATTCATTCATTCATATTACAGGGACCTCCTGGTGGAATGGGCCGTGGAATGGATTGGGACAGAGGTGCTGGTGGTCCTCCTCCACGTGGTGGCCCACCCCTACGTGGTGGACCAGGGCCTGGTATTCGTCCACCGGGTATGATGAATCCTCCTAGAATGGGCCCAGGAATGATGCCTCCCAGAGGACCACCCCCTATGGGAGGTCCACCAATGGGTGGTCCTCGTGGACCCATGGGATCTGGACCTCGTGGACCTGGTCCGGTAAGTGAGCACTTAAAAATTTATGTAAGAGTTATACAACTTAATGGATCACTTCTTGGAATACTCTTCATGGGAGATGATGTTCAGGATGAAAGTAATTTGAAGGATGCCATACACAAAATGTAGTGTCATGCTTAATTGTCATATCAGCAAGCCACAAAAGAGGGACTATGTTTCCAACCTTAAAGCCAGTTTTTTTCTCAGATCATTCATAGTAGCATACAGGATTATCAAAGGAACAGGTTTCGTATCAAATTTGGGAGATGTCTAGTTTGTGATGATTGTCTATAGATGCAATAAGTGAAAATAGAACTCTGGTATAGTGAAACATAATTGCTTAGGTTTCAAGTTATTCCAGCTTCTTTTGCCTGTTTTGTCCACATAATTATAACAACTGACAACAATGTTTCCTGTTGATAATACTGTAATAAGAACCAATATCTGGTGGAAGTAAATGAATGTCTAGAAATAGGGTATATACAACAATTTTATTTTGTTTCACAATATCAAGAAAGTAATATAAGAAATGTTTTGCATGATGTCAGGTTATCAGGCTGAAGAGTAAGGTTTAAATAAACTACATCATCTGTGTCACTAGTTTAAAAATTTAATTTACGTTTTCATATTTGAGCAATAATGCTAGTTTTACTAAACTGTTTGAATTTTAAGTTGAAATAAGATTTGTTTTGTAGCTCTAGATTAGATTTTTGCTAGTCTCTGCAAAAGAAAAAATGGCTTGGTGACTACATATTTTAGTGCTTGTACAGTTTTCCAAGCATTTACAAAGACAGGCAAAGTTACAGCCAAAATTATTTATTTCCGGAGTATTAATATGATTCAACACTAAGACTGATAACAAGAGCATTAAAACATTCGGGTGATGAACACTTTTTTTTTTGGTTTACCATAATGGATGTAGTGAATGTAAGTTACTATACTACTGAAACAGCCTCTAGCCTTAGCAAACCTATCTGTTAATTTGATAACTTTTTACTGATGTTGTGTCTTTTATTGCATAGTGTGTGTACTAGTATATCTTGATAACTTAACATTTTGAGCCATATTTTATATATTCATATCATTAATGTTAGTGGAAGAAATGAAATGGATACAAGAAACAGTAGTGATACCAGATGCTTGATGAGCTAGTAAAAGAATGTTTTATACCTTGGTTTATTCTAATTTTGATGTATTTGCTTTTTGTTCCTGCTGCTGGCTGCCTCCATGGATTTTCTCTGTTGTGCGTTGGACTTGTGGATCTTATCATGAACTTTGCAAACTTGACAATGTTATTGGTGACTTAATTTATCATTCATTCAGAGGCCACGGTTTGAAAATGATCGAGAACGTAGTCGTGAAAGGGTAGATCAAGATCGGCTTGCTGCACGCTCGCGTGAACCTCCCTCAAGAGAGCATGGAGATTTCAAGAGATTCCGTTATTAAGCGTGTACATTACAGAAACTTTACTGTTGACTGCAATTTTGTAGTGCATCAAAGAGAACGTAAACCTCTGAGATTTTAGAACACTGCACAATGGCGTTCATATGTCTCTGTTTCTGACACAAGTGTTGTATTATTCAGACAGCTCTAATGTTCAGAATACAAGTACCTTTCCATCGTTTGTTTAAGTAGTTCACAGCTGATGTTAGAGTCAATTCGCTACCTGGAAGGAGGAAGAAGGTCCTTAGTTTTTTTAGTAGACTTAAAAATAAGCTGAAAGTAATATTATAGCAACAATAACATTATTGTTCTTAGCAGTATTTATCCTAGCTGGAAAATCGGAAACGTTTTGAAGCAAAATGTACTTCGGCACATTGTTATTTCAAATAAGTGAATTATCTTAAGAACCAGTTGATTTCAGGAAGTTTTAGAAATTTTACTTAACTGTGTAAGGGGAAAACTTTATTACTCAGGGCTATTATTATTATAATTATTGCAATTGATTTGGCAATTTATTTTGTAGGATTTCTCTTGTGTTTGCCAAACTGTATAGAAGGGTCGAGTTCTTTCAATAAATTAAGTGTGTTGAAAATGCAGAGATTTTGGCATTGTATGTTATTGTTTATTTCCTTTGATATGATCTTTCATCAAAACTGTCACCACCTAAAAAAGGCAGTAAGCCATCGGCAGGTGACGTGTGTCACCCCATAGTATACGGGGCTAGTTGTTTCAAAGTAGCCCATAGAAGCATATTTTTTTATTTTCTTTTCAATGAAAAACATTCACTTTAAAATGTTAAGTCGCTGAAAAACAGATTTGTCTTTCCGGAAAAAAAAGATAAAAGTTTGACTTCTTTAATTTATCGTGTTCCGCACAATTCATAATCTTAGGATTCCTGTGTTACTTGATTATCCTATTATGTGAGCAAGTTCTTCTAGTCGTACGTCTGAATTTCCAGCACCAGTTTGAATTTCACCGTAGGTGCACGTTCATCACCCTTGTTCCATGAGTAATAATAATAATAAATTAATAATTTATATAGTGCTTTTACATTAATCATCATAGGGCTTTACTACAGTAGTAATTACAATCCTACGTAACAATAATTAAAAAGTAAAATAAATTTTACAACTCAGTATACTAATTTGCACTTTCATCAAGCTTTTAACCTTTCTTAGTGAAAGAGGTAATTCATCACAAAGTTTGGGATCCGCAGTGAAGAACGCTTTATCACCATAATGTGACTGTCCTTGATCTAGGAACAGTAAGAAGTTCTTGTGAACATGATCGTAATGTGTGGATTTAACAGAACTGATAAATAACTAGGAGCAAAACCACTGAGTGATTTATAAATCAACAATAGAATCCTTAAAATAATACGATGAGAAACAGGTAACCAGTGGAGCCTTTTAAGAACTGGTGTTATATGATCGTACTTTCGGGTACATGTAACAACACGAGCAGCAGTATTATGGACTAATTGAAGCCTATCAATCAGACATTTGAGTAGGCCGTGTAGAAGTGTGTTGCAATAATCTAATTAGATGACACAAAAGCAAGGACCAATGTTTCAGTAGAACCCTCATCCAGATATTTCCTTATCTTGCCAATGTTCTTCAGATGGAATTGGGAGGACTTGCACAATTGGCTGATATGATCATCATAGGATAAAGCTTGATCCAACAGAACACCAAGATTACGCACAGTGGGTACATGGTTGATGGTCTCCTCTCCCACTTGAATTGATGCAATAGCATGTCTTGGTTGGTGTTTTGAACTTATGACAATAAGCTCAGTTTTAGCACCATTTAATTTTAGCTTATTTTTAATCGTCCATGAGTTGATATATTCAACACAGCATTTGACCCTAGTTCTCCCCAAGTACGCATCCTCCATGGAATCACACTTAAAGGTAATATAAAGCTGAGTATCACCAGCATAAAAGTGATACTCTACTCTGTGGGCCTTGATGATATCAGCAATAGTTTTTGTGTACAGCACATAGAGAACTGGACCCAGAACTGATCCCTGTGGCATCCCAGAAGTCAAAGATCTTGCACTTGACTTTTCACCCTCACCATGAACATAATATTTACATGACTCTAAGTAGGATGCAAACAAGGCTTGAGCAGTGCCTTTGATACTGAAACGATCTGCAAGCCGCTGAGAGATCTAAAAGTAGAAGAAATACAGATTTCCTCATTGTCAAGGGAACAATGTATGTCATTCTGCACCCTAACAAGGACAGTTTCAGTGGAATGGTTAAGCTTATAAGCTGATTGAAGCCATTCATCAAGTTGATGAGATGTCATGTGGTCCATAAGCTACACATAGCTACCACTTTCTCAGCTACTTTTAACATCATTTTCAAGTTAGAAATTGGTCGAAAGTTAGAAAATTGCTTGTAATCAGCATCAGGTTTTTTGAGAAAATGGTCGTAATTCAGTAACCTTAAGTGCCTCACGCATCTTTCGATGAAGGTCAACGAGACTATGCAACCTTTTTTGGTGATCTCTTTTTTTCTATTTTTTTCATGATCTTTTCTTTATTTTGAAATAATGCTTTGAGATAAATGTAACCTGGAGCTAAGAAAACTTGAATGCACTCATTAATCTACGATAACTAGTTATGGTAAGGGGATGATGATTAGAGCCTTACATTGTAGCTGTCCTCAAAGAAGGAATTATAACGTTTGTAGACTAAGGTCTTAAATAATGTGTGTTGCAAATAAATTAGCCAAGCCCATTTCAGTTCCCAGCAAAAAAGTAGTCAAAACAGCAGCAGTTAACTTATTCCCACAAGCATCTTGATTTAGGTCATGGAATTTGCTTTTTCGCCAGTTTGGACAATTTCACCTACAGGGTGTGTTTTTTTTTTTTTTTTCTTCAAGAGTTAGGATTTTTATGCTGAGAGTAACGATAGGTTATCTTCCTTGAGGTTTAGGCCTAATTTTCCTACTTAACATTTTTATCACTTAAAATGGCATTTTTAAAATGTCTAACAAAACCTGCGGTTTTAATATCTGTAGCCAAGTATCTCATGAGATAATTGAGTTGCTGTGGTGGAACCAAGAGAATGATAGACTTGATATAATTAACTCTTCAAACTTAAGGGAATGCTGATGACTATAATGAAAATCACACGATGGAGCCGACATAGCTCAAAAAAATATGTACCCCTGGATGTTTGTTTGCTTGTTTTTTGAGGGACCGGGGAGGGGTGTTATAAAACATTGACCAGTCAGCATCAAACTGACTTCACTGGTACCCATTGACTGTTCACCAGAACATTTTTTGCGCTGATGATGTTTTAGGTTTTTCTTAATAAATTTCTAATAAGCAGAATTTAAAATCCCACTTACTTGTTGGACCTATTTTTATAATTTTTTTTGTCTTGCTGTTTAACAATGGCCATGCAACGTTGTAGGTAAAGACAAGGGCTTTTGTTCTCCCTTCCCCATCAGTAACAAATTTTTCTTGTGCGTATCAAATCCTTTAGAAATGATGTTACGTTTCGGGTAAGCCAATTAGGGGTATTTTCTTCCCCTAAAGTTGCCCCATTGTCAACTTTTTGCATGGTTCGTACAATCTTGAAAAGGTCTTAAATTTTACTAGTCGTCTTGAAAAGTCCTTGAATTTGGTTTAGGTCCTTGAAAATTAGATTATTTTGCTGAGGAAATCCTTGGTTTAAGAACCTTTTAAAGCGTACGGTTAACATAAAAACATTTTTTTGTGCATAAACAATATTTTATTTCTTTTTCTTTATTTCAAATTCCATTTCTGTACCTTAGACGCAATTGTAAGTCATACCCAGTCATTTTGCAAAGTCTTGTTGTGGAAAAGAGTATAAAATAGTGTGATCAACTATGGCCGACGAAGTAGAAATCGTAGATGACTCCATGACGTGTTTTAGCCAATAGGGTGATCAAAGGAGGTTAAAGAATCCTGATTTATTAAATAAATCTTTGTCCTTAAAAAATCGTTGAAAAGTCCTTGAATTTGTTTGTCTGAAGTTGTACAAACCATGTTTTTAAAGCCAGTGGACAACCATTCCATGAACTTACAACATTGTTTTTTATCAGGGTTTAATTTCCTCGCCTCTTTGTGTCGCAAATTGTAACGTGAAAGAAGGACTACTTCTAGTGGTGGGCTAGTGAACATTTTGCAAAGATATCATGTCACAGAATTAGTTTAATGTCAAGAAATCCAAGGAATAGCTTTGTGAGTCCTCAGCTACAAAGATAGTGGTTTATCACACATATCTCGCAAACAGATGCCCCCCTTTTTGTTTGTTGATGCTTCCTCGCTTGTCATTTTGCTTGACACGTAACACCCAGGAGCACCAAAGTTATTAAAACATGTTTGTGTGTGCAAATTTAAAAAAATGTAAAAGTATACCAGTAACCTATACATTACTACTATTAAAAAACTAACTATAAATAGATCTGCAAAATGGCTAAAAGCAGAATCTAAAACTAAAGCTATTTACAGAATTTACCACCCCTACCCTTTAAGCCTTGTAAGCTTTTAGAGATCACTTAAACGACTCAATGTTTTGTGATTCTCTGACTTTTGGAAGTAATGCATTCCAAAGTTTGCTGGCCAGGAGAGTGATTGCTGTTCAGATCACTGGCAGGCCAGAAACAATCTGTTTGTTCAAAATGGATTTTTGGAAACAGTTGAAACTACTTGAGTCATAGGTGAGACAGGCGGACCTGGTAGCAAACATGCTGGAGGCGCGAACTAACATGGGGCTCAGGGCATGCCTATTCACAAAATTTTTCAAACTGGATTGCTTAAAACACCATTTCCTGCACTCCCAGGACCGAAACTGGCTCAATTCTATCTTTGTTTTTAAAAAAATGCAAAATCAGCTGATTTATTTACAGTTCAGAAAATGATTATTTCATGGGAAAGTACTGGACTGCCTTACAAGCTAAACAACTGGCCATAACATCCAGTGTCCTGCCTCAAACAAAACTCCTGGTTCAAAAAATAAGTTGGAGGAGTTTTGCTGCTCTAATATCGGCAACATTCAGCCATTGGAGGAACTGGCAACCAAAGTGATCAAAATATAAATAACATCCGCCAAAAACAGCAGTGGAAGGTTTTACAAACATCGAAAATACAAAGGCACATGAAAAAGAATACCGAAGACAAATAATTGAAACACCCTAGCATTTTTCAAAAGTTACTGCTGTTCTTTGTAACTTTGAAAATGCGTCAGAAAAGTAGGTTTACTAGAAGAAATAATTTCTTTGCTAATGTTTAATTTTATTGCAATTAACTGGAAAAGCTGAACAAAATTTGCTAAACTTCTGCAACACGGTCTCTTATTTGGAGTTTGCCTGTTTTTTTTTGTGTGATTGCTTCCCTTTTTTATTTTCTATTTTGTCTAAGTGATGCTGGATGCATTCTTAATTTATTGAGTTATCTTCGTTGGTTCCTTTGCCACCTAACTGAATCACCCTTAGGACGTAATGAATGTTCTCTTATCTTTTTGTTGAGAAGTTTTATCCAATTCAATTGCACATGATAAGAGGTCATTCAAATTTGATACCGACCACTGCATTTGAAACGAAGTGCCAGTGCAAGAAGAAAAAACAATTCGGCATCATAGTTAGAAAAGAAGCATTTTGACCCCAAGTGAGGAAACCGCAGAAAACTTTATAGTAACTGATGACATGGATATGTAAGAATTTTCAAGCAGGAAGGTATGTTGAAGCCTCATGTGTTTAAGATGACAACAGTTTTAGACACAGTATACCTGCCACCCCTTGATGCTTTATTGAACTTTTTCTAAGTGAGCCAATTTGCCATGTTTGAAATAGCCCACTGGCTTTCAAATTTCAAAATAATTCACTTTCCCTTAGAACTGGCTTAAAGAAGCATAGGCGATAACTTATGTGCAAGATTTAGCATTGAATGTTTACAAAAGGTGTCAGTTTTTCTGCCAGCCTTTTGACCTCCCCTAAGAAATGTTGGCAGGTATAGCAGAGTAGTTACACACTTGTATCAAATGCTGAACTTATTTTTAACTTGCAGATTTTTCAAAGATGGCGCATGTGGTTAAAAAATATGTTCCTGACTCACAGTTATATATGTGTGTCTAGTTTTCCTTAGTGAAAATTTTTCATGAGTCACAAGATAGCCAAAGAGGAGTGCCTCATTGAGGAACCATTATAAAGTTTTTAGAAAAAGACTGAGTGTCTCCTTTTTTCCTTATATTGTTTCGAACTTGTCGTGATTTAGTTTAAAAGGGTCCCCTTTGACTACTCGGTAACTTTCATTTCTTGCAAAAATATCTGTCCTTCATATTTCAGTAACAATAGTTTTAATTTCTTTAATAAAGGAGCAGGATTAGATGCAACACGAGTCAATAAACAGGCCACCTCGAGGACAAGGAAAAA